AGTGATGGATAAAAAACGTTTTTTATAGAAAAACGTTGAATTGATTGATTATTAACAGCTCTATTTACGTAAAGGACAATGAGAATTCGCAAAGTAGCAAATATTTGATGAGTTTTCAGATCAACATGGAGTATATGTCTGTTTTAAGTTTGTAATTTGAAAGATAAACATTAAATTATAGAGAAAAAGCAATTTGAAATTGAACTTTTCTGAATCACAATGGCTATCTTAATGTACGTCGTCCATTTCGTTTTTTCGCTTTTGGAAAAACTCCGCCCGTAGACGCAGAAGAATATCTCTTAATCAATAATTCCTTTTCTCCCACAGGAATGAAGCCGTGATTTTTTTGTATCGCTGGAATCGCGCTTGCACTGGCGAATCTTGTTTTCAACCGTTCTTTCGATTCCTCGTGTTCCTGTTTAGTGTAAAAAAACATATCGAGATCCTTGAAATTATTCTTTGCCCACTGGAACAGACCATCTGGAGTGAGAATAGGTTCACCATTAGTAATTTGCAGACTTCTTCGTCTTGCTTCCCTCTTCAAGACTGCGCCTACGCCACCGCATGCCGTCTTTCCATGCGCGGTCGCATGATAGTGCCCCTCTGCTTCAACTCCAAAATAAATTTTATGCAACAAAAGATTAGCTATGTTATATGGATTCTTATAGTGCTATCCATCTGTAACATAGATCAATTTGTTCACGACAGCACAGACTTGTCTTATGTGTCGTATCAGAATCTGTTGCATTAAATGAACTGCAGTAGTATCGTGAACGAGACTGTCAGACAAGAGGACTAGACTTCTATGTCGAATATCATTGTCGTGGCAATAATAATACACCACAGGATGGACAGTGCATTGATCATTGTTGTAATGGAACAATTGACCCACGTCTTGAGCTACGAAAGAATAATTCTCCGAAAAATCGGCCTGCACTAGAATTTCACCCTCAATTAAATTTCCCTTTCGTTCTTTTACGAAAGCGTTTTAACGTGGATACGTCTATGTTTTCGTTTTGAAGGGCATTTTGTGCATAGGTAGATATTTACTAACGCCATCTGTTGGCGTATAGGGAAACTAAGTCGGTAAGTACAGAATTCACTTTACCGACTGTCATTAAACGTGGACTTGGATTGAAATGACGTTTATAGTGAGACAGATCTTTTTTTATTTTATCGAAATTATTGTTTAGAATTAGAAGATTAACAAAAGATCTCACCCGACGCGGCTTGGGTCAAGAGCTGTCGGGGCTCAAGGCGATTAGTTTTAAATAAAGTTAATATTTTGTTGGGCGCCAGTCCACTTTGACGAGGTAGACAACTCGATAGGTTTCAATTAATAATTTTAGAGAGAACAATAGACTCTAGACAAGGGGTAGGATCGACTTTGGAGACCTAATAGAATTAGAAAGACCAAGGAGAGAGAATATACAGAATCACGAGCTACTTACTGTTGCTGCCTCGGAAATCGACTCTCCTGGTGTAAGTTGACAATTAATAAATTTTACAAACACAGAGTTGAGAGACTAACTGTATTTGACAATTAATAAAGATAAAAGAAAATGGTGTATGGGAAAATCCAAAAATTATGATGAGAGAACTATATCTAGTGCCGCCCGACACGAGAGTGACGTGCTTCGATGCGTTCGGCACTCGTTGAGTATGGCCCACCGGGTGCGCAACTCAGTTGACGAAATTTCGTCGAGATGACCTGATTAGCTCTGTCCTTTGGGCTAGTCGGGCCAGTCCATTTTATTTGTTTAAATCCTTAAATGTAATTTCCTCGAGATTCCCGAGGCTGACGTTGGGGCAACTAATAATCGTGTTACAATAGTACGTCGCACGTGGTGATGAGTAGAGCAGACATACAGTAGAACTGGCGAAAGAGTTCCACTGGGAATTGTAGGTTATGCATCGAGCTCTCATTGTCCTATACTCCTCTCAGTGGAACAATCTCGCCAGTCCTACTGTACATGTAAACAAACATTCTCACGCTGCTCTCACATATTAAAAACGGTTCCCTTGAGACTGTTTAATTTTCTAATTTCCCGAGTATCTATGTAACACAGACGTATCCACGCAAAACTTACGGCAGTATCAGCGATACAGCCAACCAGGATTTTTATTGTATGGCAATGAAATGATGAGATTTCAATACTTTCAATCTCTCACAAACTATATAAACAAATTCATACACTGGAATTCTCTGGGTCTGTAATGTTGTTCTATCCACAGATTGCCAAGTCCTGAATTCTACAGTTTCAATCACAGCATCGTGGAGGAGTTCGTTCAGCTCGAGCGATAATCCTTCAACTCCAGGCCAGTTTTTACACTCATGTAACCAGGAACACTAGGGAGGTGTTCCCCTCCGATTTCGATGAAACTCATATATGTTGTAGAGGACTCGAAACTAAACGACAAGTATTTTTTGATCACTTTTGGGGGTGATTTTTCAATTCCACCTATAAGAAGGGAATTTTGTTAAATGTTCATTATGGGAATAAATAGCTTGTGAGGAATTATGAAAATCACAATTGATAGTTCCTCCGGGGGTTGAAATTTGGGGGGTAAACTACCCCTGTAAAGACTTCATTTTTCAAAAAAAAAAAAAAACTATGATTCAGAATTTTATGAAACCAACTGCGTTGGATGGAACATGGAAAAATGCGAAATACCTGTTTTTGGTTTTTCCCCTGAACTGGAGTTTTCTAGGGTGAAAAAAATAATTTCCCGGCAACATCATCCACCAAGGTGGTGGGGTTATTTATTCAATTTATCCAACTGATGAATAACTGGGGAGGAATTATGGAAATCACAATCACTACTCACTCTGAGGTTTCAAATTTGGGGGTTAACTACCCTCATGAAAATTGTGTCTTCACTTCTGTCTTCACTTGTGTCACTTTCGGAAAAAAAAAATATTGTTCAAATTTGCATAAAACCAATAATATTAAAAAAAAACATGACAGAATGCAGCTAGGGGCCGGATAGCCCAGCAGGAAGAGCACCTGATGCAAAAAAAAATGCGGAAACTAGTTTTTCATTTTTTTGCTCGAAACTAGAATTTTCAGAGGCGCAAGTTTGATTTTGTCGAAAACTATGAATTATTCAAAATATATTGTAACGTGTTATTTTCGTTACAAATCATTTCATGGTTTTTTGTAGACCTTCGCGTGATTTTTGGGGTTTTAGATTGGTTGCCACCAGACTTGAAGTCAAACCTACCATTCAACGAGAGTCATTTTTTTTAGAGTTAATTTTGTATGACTGATTATTTTGTTTTGTATTTGAATTTTGTACGAAATCACACGCTCAATGATTGAAGGACTTGTTGGACTACGAGGGACGTCGAGGGATGATTGGCATGAACGTCAATTCCCATTTGAATTCGATAGAACCTGGAGTATCTATCGAGTCACGTAAAGCTTCGAACGTTGATCGTGAGAGTATGGCGCTGAGAGGACCTTCGTTGCAGAACAGATGAACGAGTGGCGAGTCTACATTAGAGAGGGACTGCTAAATTATCGAGGCCTGGACGTGCCGATGAAATACTATGATTTATTGATTCAAGATGAATTAAATGATTGGAGGTAGCCGGAAGGGCTTCGAGACTATTTATGATTTGATGACATTATTTGAATTGTAATTGGAATTATGGTCTAGTTGGAATAATTAATTTATTCAACTGATTTGGTCATGCGCAGGCGCAAAGTTAGTAGCGCGCAGGCGTGAGATTTTGGGTCCAATCATAATTGAGAGTAATGGTCGTATTGCGGGGGCCAATGAAATTAATTGCCGCGCAATTGATGATCGCGTCGACACCTGTCATAGTCGAGCGATCACTTCTGTTCTGGTGGTGACGGCGTGCACGTGTTTCGCACGCCTGTCGAAATTTTTGTGTCCGACGCCATTTCAGAAGCCATGTTGGGCTTTGGCGTCCTTTGGGTATTTCTCCGGGTTTCCTTGGAATTTCTGGAAGTCACTGGGACGTTTTGAGACCTGCCATGCAGCCGGGAGTTCTTTGGGATTTTCGTCTGGACCTCGGTGAGCGTGGTGATTAAACATTTTGGTATTTTGTGAGAGCAAAATCGAGTCCAAAGGTTCGGCGTTTCGCACGCCTTTGACGACTCTGTTTGATAGTGACGAGATTTTATTAAGGATGGGCGATGTTTGAAAAAAAAATCGATTTTTAAAAAATCGATGTTTTGAAAAACATCGATGTTGTACATCGATTTTTTTTTAAAACATCGATTATTTAAAAAAATCGATGTTTTTTCTCATAGAACGTAAAAAAAAAAATAAACGAAAATTTTCATTTAATTTTGTATTTATTGTATTTATTAATAGAATCAACATATTTGTAGATTGAATTATTGGATGATTTGTGGAAAAACAAAATGGTGAATCATTTTTCATTTTTTTCCCCATTACTTGTTTACCTTATTTTTTCTTACCGAATGCTAATCATTAGCGTTTTGTCTCTGGAATTGAACTCCATTGAATCTCCATCACATTTCTAGAAATATATTCTTCATTAATTTTTGAATCCCAGCTTTTAATTCTCTTACTTGACTAAGCTTCTTCCCGCGGTCCCCACGAAGCGTGCGACTCACCTCTACCCATTCCCGCGCCGAGAAAACAAGTAGAAATAATAATCAGGTTGGAGGGTTAAGGGGATGGAAAATAAGTGGAGAAAGAGACGAGAAACATAGAATTTTAAATCGCAAGAAAAATCATATCAAACATTTACATACATATGCAGATTTGAATATTCTAAATATCCATCGAACACGTACACCTTAAACCTATGCATTTTCTCGAACCAGGATATTTTGTTATCACATGTGGAAAGACCCCGAAAATAACTACTTCAGTCATTACTTAAATTATTTCAGTCGCTGAAGTCTTTTACTAGGAATATAAGTGTCACATTTCATAGTATCATTCATTCTTATCGTTACCATCGTATTTTTCATCAACAAGCGTGTTTCACAGCCAAACATTTCTGCCAAAAGATTATCATGCTCATCACCACACCTCTGATACTTTTACATTTCACATTAAACCTTCTACCTACAGTCCCCATTCTTCGCGGTTCAGACTTCCCAAGAAAAGTAATTTATTCAAATTCTCACCAGTCAATCTTGAGCGATCGTCATCTTTTATTTTCCCAGCCTGGGAGAAAATCCTTTCAGAAGGAACAGATGTTGCGATGATGCTGAGATATTTGATGGCTATAGGATACAGCGTTGCATAAGCAGGCTTCAATTTCTCCCATTCCTGGAATGGATCCTCCTCACGAGAAATCACTTTGCCCTTTAGATACTGACGTAGTTCAGAGTGATATCCCTGGTCCTCCTCTTCAGGAGCTTGTTTTGCCACCAGTTCGTCATGAAGATCCCACAAGCTTGGAGCCATTCTTCGAATGTTCACTTCTACATTTTCTTTGCTCTTAAGATTCTCCTGTTTCGACGCATCCTTCAATAATTTATCGATTCTCTGGAGATGAGTAGTGACTGCCAGTGGTTTTTCGAAGGCAACTTTTTTGAATCTTGGATCCAATAGCGTGGCTTGCCCTAGCAACGGCATCAACTCCACGTCTCTGAATTTGTCCATTATCCGAGTCAGAAGGGCCTCCTGGAACTGTTTTGCAGGTCCTGTTTCTGGAGACAGTTTCTTGATGACACTGACAATCCCACGAACTAGAGGAATCACGACGCTGCATGTAGCGTATCTACTACCACTGATATTAATGATCCCAGACTCAATTGGTTCCATGAGTTGAACCAAATCCTTCAATATTGCTATCTCTTCTTTACTCAACATATCTGGACTATTTTTACATNTAGAAATTCTATGATGAGCGGCAGCCCACAGGCGGCATTGTTAATATTCAAATATTAAATATTTAATTAAAAAAATTAACGGGATTTGTTTAATTAATGGCTTCAAAAACATCGATGTTTGGGAGAAAACATCGAAAAATCGATTAATCGGCTGTTGGAAACATCGAATGAAAAACATCGATGTCTTCGACAGAAAAATCGATGTTTTCGATTAATCGAAAAACATCGCCCATCCCTAGATTTTATCCGCCCAGTGAACAGTTTTCCTTTGAATCTTGTAGTTATTTTGTTTTCGTTAAAAACTCTCATTCGTTAGAGATATTAGTTCCTTCGGGATTTTAGAATTTTGATTTCAGTTTTTTTTTGGTTCAGAATTTTGTACGTTAGATTCATCCATTCTGTGAACCATTGAGGTTTCGTAACCCTGGAGATTTTGAAGTATTTAATTTCGGTTACGATTGGATTCTCGTTGGATGGAATTTAACTTGGATAATTTCAAAGGACATTGAACGTGGGTTACTGTGTGTCTCGTGACCTTGCTTCGTTTCGCTGGCCTGAGGTCTTGAGTTTTCGTATTCGTTTCGGACAGCTAGCTTTACTTGTCACGGAGACTAATTTTTGGGTTTCGTTCATTCAGTGTCGTTCAATCTACATGAGTATTGACGATATTTCGATTCTGATTTTTTTTATGATTCTTTTGACATTGTTTTTGACTTTTGATTTGTTTTTTTTTACTTTTGGATAATTAGATCTCTCAATTTGATTATCAGAATTGGTTTTGATTAATTTGACTAAGTGTGCACTTTCTGATTTTTGTTAAAAGCATCTTTTATTATTTTGATGATGGTACAGTTATTCAATTTTGGAGTCATATGATCATTGATCGGTTGAAACAACCAAATAGGGGGTTTTCAATTAATTAATCTTGAAATGTATCGAGTCGTTTAAATTTTATTAAATACTGTGATTTTTCCCCCGCAATTCTGAATTTAATTTATTTGTTTTGTTACACGTCTCTTCGTCTGGAGCTAGCGGGAGACCGTTTCGAGCTTAGGGCTAGTTTGATTTTGTTTCTTTCGTTCCAGTGCTCGTTCTGGTAAAAACTATCTGGCGCTCAACTTTTTGTCGTTGTAGTTTCTACGTGAGTGCCAGAGGGCTGCGTATTGGACCGAGGGGTTTATTAGGGAACATAATTAGTACAGAAATGATAGTCATAAAAAAATGGTGTATGCAGAGAGACTTTCTGCACCACGAGCATCTAACTACCGCAACATTAGAACAACCATCAACTTCACATTTTGGATTAGAAGATTGTCCAAACGCAAAATCGACAGGATTATCAAATTCCTCTGGTTTTTTTTAGCGATGTAGCCACTCTGTAACCAAGCGTAACGAAATAGGTTTTGATACCTCGGTGATGATAATTGATTATGGAGTAAAGATTGCAATTTGATCACATTATTCCGCGCATGCAAATTAATATCATGATTTAAGAGAACAACCGTATCTGAAAAATCACGGACGTAATTTTTCCAAATCCTGAAGCCGTACACATCAAGAGGTTGAATTTTTCCGGTAGTTCCTTTGGGGATTAACATAGTTAATAATTCTTTATTCCGAGGAGTTGTTTGCTCTATCACTTGAGAGCAATGTCCACTCCATGAATCCCAGCATCGATAGCATTTTTCATATTTTTCAACGTGTACTCTGATATTCGTTTCAACTTTTCCATATAAGTTCCTCCTTTATTGACTTGATGTGGCCAACGACGTAATTGCTGGACCGATTTCACTCTTTTGAATTTATTGGAAACAGCTTTTATAGACAGATTTTTCTTTGTTTTTGCACTCTTCCAGTATTCGACTGCTCTTTTTTTATAGTCATAATCTACAAGTTCGTCATCCTCTAAACAACTATCAGATGATTCTTTATGATGTGGTTGGAATTCTGTATCCTCAATTGGTATCATTTCGATGTTTTTGCATTGCTCTTGGAAATCAAGAGTTGATTCTTGAATAATTTCCACCCCATTATATTCCTCCATAGTTCGTTGCAATATATTCTCGAAATGAGTTGCCAATTCTCGTTCTTCATTAGTCACAGGGGTTTCGCCAAGATTCAGCACTTCAAATGTTGCCATGAGGATCTTAATAACGTTTATAGGATTGAATCTCATGATGGAAAGAATTCGGAATATACGATTAACAAGAGACAGTTTTGCCGTGATGTGTTTACGTAAACTGAACGCTGCGCAAAATGGAAGTGAATAATATTCAGGGTTATCAATAATACATGATTACTGCATGATGGATTACCTATTTTTGGATATAGGTGACGCGTGCACGGCTATTTGCATTTTGTTTGGATTTATTATCGCTTTCAGCAGTGTGTTATCATCACATATATACTATAATAATGAAGTCTCTTAGAACCATTACCCCGGTTCCTCCGACATATGAAAAAAACAAGTTCAATCATTCGTTGAACGATATGGAAAAATTCCGATTATTTAGCAAATTTTTTTTCGTACTCGTCACCTTTTTCTTCAAATATAACCACCCTGTTGCTGTACCTGAAGAAAAAGGAAATTTTTTTCCAGAGAATCTTTTCTTTGATCTATTTTTATCGTTATTCGTTTATCGCCGAATTTTGGAAAAATATCATTTTCACGTGCGGATTATTGAAATCAAAATTGAGGCTTGGGATATCTGGAATCCAATTTTATTCTTTCATAAAAAGGAATACTGTATTATTTCATATCTCTTCCGATGCAATCATTTCCGTGAAAGCCAATAGTTCTTTGATAAAAAAATATTATTTCGCGGGGGTAATCACCCCGTCAACTTCAACCCCGAGAGGAACTATTATTGGATATTCTCACGATTTCTCATAAGCTATACATTACCTCAATGGAATGAATAAATAACCCCACCACCTTGGTGGATGATGTTGCCAGGAAATTATTTTTTTCACCCTAGAAAACTCCAGTTCTGGGGAAAAACAAAAATAGGCATTCCGCATTTTTCCATGTTCCATCCAACGCAGTTGGTTCCATAAAATTCTGAATAGTTTTTTTTTTTTTAAATGAAGTCTTTACAGATGTAGTTTATCCTCCAAATTTCAACCCCCGGAGGAACTATCAATTGTGATTTTCATAATTCCTCACGGGCTATTTATTCCCATAATGAACATTTACGAAAATTCTCTTCTTATAGGTGGAATTGAAAAATCACCCCCAAAAGTGNCTTTTATAGACAGATTTTTCTTTGTTTTTGCACTCTTCCAGTATTCGACTGCTCTTTTTTTATAGTCATAATCTACAAGTTCGTCATCCTCTAAACAACTATCAGATGATTCTTTATGATGNGGCATTCAGGCATTAGGGCACATGAGTCTTGCAAGACAGTCTTTATAGTCGGTAAGGGGACATGATGAGTTTTTAGTGTGAGTAGAAATGTTGATTGTATCCAACATCAGCTTACAATTTTGATGATAGGTACAGACACATACCACGTGCGTACCACTCGCTCCTGCCAATACACAGTATTTCGGCTTCAATTCCGCAAACTTGCTGAATTCAACCGGAGAGTCTGGATAAGCAATTTTATATTTCTCATGAAGATCATTCAAGTTCTCGAGNCATTTTTGGATATAGGTGACGCGTGCGCGGCTATTTGCATTTTGTTTGGATTTATTATCGCTTTCAGCAGTGTGTTATCATCACATATATACTATAATAATGAAGTCTCTTAGAACCATTACCCCGGTTCCTCCGACACATGAAAAAAACAAGTTCAATCATTCGTTGAACGATATGGAAAAATTCCGATTATTTAGCAAATTTCTTTTCGTACTCGTCACTGCTTTTTCTTCAAATATAACCAGCCTATTGCTGTAACTGAAAAAAAAGGAAATTTTTTTCCAAAGAATCTTTTCTTTGATCTATTTTTATCGTTATTCGTTTATCGCCGAATTTTGGAAAAATATCATTTTCACGTGCGGATTATTGAAATCAAAATTGAGGCTTGGGATATCTGGAATCCAATTTTATTCTTTCATAAAAAGGAATACTGTATTATTTCATATCTCTTCCGATGCAATCATTTCCGTGAAAGCCAATAGTTCTTTGATAAAAAAATATTATTTCGCGGGGGTAATCACCCCGTCAACTTCAACCCCGAGAGGAACTATTATTGGATATTCTCACGATTTCTCATAAGCTATACATTACCTCAATGGAATGAATAAATAACCCCACCACCTTGGTGGATGATGTTGCCAGGAAATTATTTTTTTCACCCTAGAAAACTCCAGTTCTGGGGAAAAACAAAAATAGGCATTCCGCATTTTTCCATGTTCCATCCAACGCAGTTGGTTCCATAAAATTCTGAATAGTTTTTTTTTTTTTAAATGAAGTCTTTACAGATGTAGTTTATCCTCCAAATTTCAACCCCCGGAGGAACTATCAATTGTGATTTTCATAATTCCTCACGGGCTATTTATTCCCATAATGAACATTTACGAAAATTCTCTTCTTATAGGTGGAATTGAAAAATCACCCCCAAAAGTGGTCACCTTCTGACCATGGTTTCCCCCCTTAAAACTGTGTATCCGCCGATAAAAAAAAATACGTGTCGCTTAGTTTCGAGTCCTCTACAACATATATGAGTTTCATCGAAATCGGAGGGGAACACCTCCCTAGTGTTCCTTGTAAGTGGCATTCAGGCATTAGGGCACATGAGTCTTGCAAGACAGTCTTTATAGTCGGTAAGGGGACATGATGAGTTTTTAGTGTGAGTAGAAATGTTGATTGTATCCAACATCAGCTTACAATTTTGATGATAGGTACAGACACATACCACGTGCGTACCACTCGCTCCTGCCAATACACAGTATTTCGGCTTCAATTCCGCAAACTTGCTGAATTCAACCGGAGAGTCTGGATAAGCAATTTTATATTTCTCATGAAGATCATTCAAGTTCTCGAGGAC